GAGAGAGAGAGAGAGAGAGAGAGAGAGAGAGAGAGAGAGAGAGAGAGAGAGAGAGAGAGAGAGAGAGAGAGGTGCTCTGCGCTCAAGGTTTGTCTTTCCGTAGACCAGCTATGAGCAATTGGCCACTCCATCGATCACTCTTGGCGCCCTCTTTTTCGGCGTGGCCTCACGGCACGCCGTTGCGCTCCTCCTCTACCCTCGTGCGCTGCCGCCTGGCTTGGCCCCGTTCTCTCGGCTGGTGTTCTCCGAGCCTTCCACGTGTTTCAAGTGCAAGCGCGCTGCACGTCGCGCCTTCGAGTTGGCGCCGTGCTTGATCTGCTTAAAAAAAAAAATAAAAAAAATCTTTGATCTGCGTTTTTTCAAATCAATCTTTGATCTGCTTTTTTTTAACAATCTTTTTACAGCAATAACGAAACTAATGAGCCTTTTGCGTTGCGCTCCATCGACTCTTGTATTCTGAGGAGAAAACACGTTCGAGCCTCGTCTTGCTCTCTTGCCACTTTCCCCCCGTCTTCCGCCATTTCCTTCTCCTTTCCCCGCCCCCTTTCCGCCCTCTTTCCGCCCCTCTTCTCCTCTCCTCTTGTTTTACCAAATCTGCCGGCGAATGAATCCGCCATTTCCTTGTCCTTTCCACACCCCGTTTCCGCCCTCTTTCCGCCCCCTTCCACCCCCTCTCCGCCCTTCTTCTTGTTTTACCACATGTGCTGGCGAATGAATACGCCATTTCCTTCTCCTTTCCGTGCCCCCTTTCCACCCTCTTTCCGCCCCTTCTACCCCTCTTCTCCTCTCCTCTTTGTTTTAACACATCTGCCGCCGAATGAATCCGCCCTTTCTTTCTCCTTTCCTTCTCCTTTCCGCGCTCCCTTTCCGCCCTCTGTCCGCCCCTTTCGCCGCTCTTCTCCTCTCCTCTTGTCTTACCGCGTCTGCCTTCGAATGAATGCGTGCAATGAACGCGGAAGGTACGAGTGCCTGTCCCCCAAAACTAACCGAAAATTTTAAAAAGGGTAACGAATGCAATGCACGGGAAAGGGAGCGAACGAAAAATTGGATCGGCCAATGAACTGAAAAAAAAAAAGAAAAGAAGAAAGAATGATGATTGATGATTGGACTTTAACTTAGTGATTGGACGAATCGAATGGACAGAACTGAATGTACTGACGACTGAAACCAAAGTCGTGAAACTGGAAAGATCGGTTGGTAGAATGGATTCGGTTGTTTTTTGGGTTCATTTTGCTTATTTTTATTCATTTTTTTTGCTATTTTTTGTTCATTTTGCTGACTTTTTTCATTCATTTTTCTATTACTGGTAAGTGTAATCCATTTAATTAGTATAATATTGCAAATCAAAATCTACTATAAACGAGTAAATATATCATTAAATAGCATACTTGCCCTATGCGAATGCGCTGGCTTTCACTTCCTTGTGGCACCGGCCATTGAAGGAGGAGACCGGCGACAGATTGAAATTAGAGTCGCATTCTGCGATGCCGTGGCGCTCAAGCTGAACGCGTACATGCGATGCGCCAGGAGGACACGCTTTTAGTTCTCTTTCCTTTCTCTCTTTACCTACATCCACGCGGGAGGCCTTGTACGCAAGAGGTTCTGAACAGGGGGAGTCTTGTAAGGAAGAAGATTTTAAATAAATGAAAGTATTTTTCTTTTTTTTTTTCTGTTTTCCTTTCGCTTTTGCGCTCTGACAACTTTGTGACAATATATATCGGGCAGCCAGCGCTCAACCTGTCATCCACGTGGCTGGTCTTGTACGTTAGAGGTGATGAACAGGCGGAGCTTTCCTTCCTCCTTTCCTTTTTTTGGTTTTGTCTCTTTTCGCCTTTGCGCTCCGATTTACAGTGTGACAATATATCGTCAAACAGATATGTACGCGTGTGTACGTATCTATATGTGCGTGTACCTGGTCATAGAGAACTGCTCGATGCAGCATAGGCAGAAATGGAGAATATGATACAGGAACGGAGGGCTTTTACTTGTCCTCCCTCTCTCTCCATGTGTGCATGTATATAGGCAAATATAATATATATATTATTTGTATGTATATATATCGTCGAACAGAGCTGCCCAGTAAACCGTAGGTAGAGAGGGAGAAGTGGACAACAAACGAGGGGTTGTGACAAACTGTTTCGTCGGACTTTTACCGACTCATCAGGAGGCTGATTCCTATATGTATATGTATATATATAAAAAACTGTCCTCGTGTTTCTTATTTTCTCTCGTTTTTGACGTGTCCACTTTCACCCTTCTTTTGAACGTTGCTGACGTGGGAGCATGTTTCCCGCCATTTTAAAGTCGAAAGATTACGGCGGGAAACTCGTCTGAAGTCTAGTGACACCCCGACCTGACCCTCAAGGAAGTACAGTAATAAATGAATAAAAGACAGCGGAAAGGTATGATCACAAACAAAGAGAGAGAGAGAGAGAGAGATTCCAGGGCGTCTTGGAATGGCACGTGGAGGGAAAGTGGACGTACATTATTTTTTTAAATTATAGTTGAGCTAAACGATGCAACAAACAAATTGCGTCCGCAGCTGGATTGTGGGCCGCAATATTATTGCCTTTTTTTGGTGAAAAAAATTGCGGGCCTTTTTTCTTTGTGTTTTTTTTTTTTAAGGTACAGCACGGGGATTTCCCTGGAAGTCACCCATCCCAGTAATATTCCGGCCCAACGGCGCTTCGCTTCCGAGCTCGGATGGGATCGGGCGCATCAGCCGTTGTATGACCGTACCGTAAAAATAAAAAAAAGGACCATTCCTCGATTTATTCGTGTCGCCCTTGCGCAGGGCCTTTTTTTTTTGCAAAAAAGAGTTTCTGGGGTTTTTGTGTGCGTTTCAGTGGGTATATTTGTGTAGGTATATTTCATTTTTTGGGTTTATCCCCGTCTTCGTATTTTGTGTTGACGTCCTTCTTGTTTTTGGTGATGGAGCGAAAAGGCGGTTTGCGGTAGGGTTTGCTTTTTTTTTTTTTTTGTTGGGTTTCCGTGTTACCGTTTGTCACATTTTTGTTTGTTTTCTTACTTCCGTTTCATTTCTTTTTTTAATTCTTTTCTCGATCCCCGCTCGTTTTTCTTTAGGGCATACATTATGTATTCGCAGTAGGGCTTTCTGCTGCAGAACTGGTCGTATTTACGGCTAGATACACCCAGGAAATCCGTAGTGTGAGTATATGCGCGTACGTGGTGGCCTTGTCTGTTCTCTCTTCTCTGTCATCATTTCCCCCCTCTCTTTTCTCCTGTGCTATATTAGTCTTGTTCGTAGTCTTGTTTCTGCTTTTTCTCTCTTTGTTTTTTTTTTTTGCCGCCTTTTTTCCCCCCTCCCATCTTGCTGTCCCTCCATCTTCCCCTCTTGTTTTTTTACTCTTCTTCTTGTCTTTTCCCTTTTCTCTGTATTTCTCTTCTTTGCCCTTACTTTTGTGCCATTTCCTCCTTTTGCGATCGTCCTCAACTTTTTTTTTTCCCCCTTTTTCGGCTTTTTCTCATCTGTTTTTGCTGTCCCGACCAACCCCCTCTTCCCCCCACCCACAAAAAAATAAAATAAAAAAATCTTGCTTCCCCTACATCTTCTTCCTTTTCTTATTGGTCTTTTGGCCTCCACCCCTTTCCTATTTTTGCTCTTCTCCCTTGACTTTTTTTTTCCCTCATTTCCTTTTTTTGTGCTGCTCCTCCTCTCCTCCTCTTTCTCCTGCTCCTCCTCTTTCTCTCCTCTTCCTCGTTTTCTCCTTCTCTTCTTCCTCCTCTTCATCCTCTTCTTCTTCCACTTCCTCCTCCTCCATCACTTTTTTTTTTGTGAAACAGCACGACGATCTGACACGACTACGCTTCAATGTTTGAGGAAGAAGACGATAACTTCTTTTTTTTTGTTTTTCGGACCATTTCTCCATTTTATGCCTGTCATCCTTGCGCTGGGGCCATGCTAATCTTTTTTTTTTTTTTTTTTTTAATGTATCGTTCCAATCTTTTTACGGAACGTCCCGAAGTGCAGTCAGAAAATGTTTGGGGTGGGCGCCAAGACCATAAAGTCAACCCCGAGCGGACTCGGACCGTCTCTGTAGCGCTGAGGACGCGCCAATCAGAGTTCCTCCACTGTAGCGCAGATTTGCTTGCTCAGTTGCCTCGATGTATACTGTAAGTGCGTACTCGCACAAGGACTTTTTTGCATGTATGTGATTGCAATTACCGCCGGTCCTGGGCGGATTTGACCGGAATCCTGGCCATATTCACGTCCAGAGCTGAGTCGAAAAGGTCCTAGTGTGAGTATGCCCTAAGGGGAGCGAGCAACTGATTCAGCATTGTAATAATCACAGCGAGTCGAACTACTATTGCATACGGTGAAGTGAATCTGGTCAGAATTTCAAGCTTAGTACCGAGTCGTAGAGGGCAAGTTTCTTATCGCCGCGTTCCTTTTTCTTTTGTGTTTCTCTTCTTATCTTTTTCTTTTTTTTTGGGTCTCTTTGTATTTTTATTACATCGTGAAGTGAATCTGGTCAGTATTACGAGAGTTTAGCACCTAGTCGCAGAGGGGAAGTCCGCATTGTCCCTTTTCTTTTTCTTTCCCCTTTTTTTTTTTTTTGATTTTTTTTCTGATTTGTCTCCTTTTTTTCCCTTTTTTTTCAACTTCTAACTGCGAGTCGACTGAATGTGAGAGTGGGCTGAAAGGCAATGTGCGGGACGAATCCTCCTCTCCCTCCTCAACAAGCCACCCGGAATATTTTCTTGTTATTTTATTCCTTTTCTGTTCTTTTTGGAAAAAAGAATCTAGTATTGATGAATAAAATAAGTGGCACCAGGAAGGATTCCAATGGTACCTGTTTTTTTTCCCACTCACAACAATTACATGTGTGTACCAGTCAGCCACGTGGGCCGGGTTTAGATAATTGCCAGGCGTAAAGAAATATCGACTCGGTGATAATAAACTTTAATTAATGAATTATAAATTATAAGGAATTATAATTTAATTAATTTATCTAGTAATTGTAATACCTGTTTTCATTAACTTTTCCCCCCTTGGACTTTCGCAGATGTGGTAACAAGCCAACGAAAAGGGCCCAAGTACTGCTTTCTGGCTTTGCTGCTGCTTGGCGCGCTTTGCTCTTCCCTCCGAGCGTGACAACTGCGTCCCGGCGCCGCTCCTCCACTTACCATCATCTCTTGAGCAATCGACCGATCAAGGAGAGAGGGAGGGAGGGAGAGAGGGAGAGAGGGAGAGAGGGAGGGAAGGGTTTGATTCCATTACGAAGAAGCCCAATTTACTAAGACGAGGGCCCATTCTTATGTAAGGTGGAGGTAGGTTCATTTTTGAAGACGAGGCCCCATTTTTCAAGGAAGAAGCTCCGCTCCATTTCAACCCCGCTCCTCCTCCCCTGCCCCCCGCCGCCCCCGGCAAAGGAGAACGAAGATGGTGGACGTGAGTGATTTGATAGTGCAGTACACGGGATTATCTCCTCTGGCTTTTGTGGCCATCGTTGTGGGTTTGCTTGGGGCCTTATACCTGCTGCTGGCGAGTAAGGAGGCCCACGCGGGACACCAGCATAAGCGGGCCGGCGTGGCGGTCGCCGCTGCCCCGAAGGAGACTATCAAGCTTGGGGACTCTGTAACGGAAGAGGAATTGGAGCAGTACGATGGCAGCGACCCGAGCAAACCTCTTATGTTGGCTTGCAAGGGAGTCATTTACGACGTCTCCTCTGGGCGCGACTTCTATGGGCCAGGTGGCCCGTACGACAGCTTCGCTGGACGGTATGTATGTATGTATGTATGTATGTATGTATGTATGTGTGTATGTGGTATGTATGTATGTATGTATGTATGTATGTGTGTATGTATGTATGTATGTATGTATATGTTGCCAGCTACGATCTTCCCTCTCGCCCTCCCTCCCTCTCTCCCTCTCTCCCTCTCTCCTTGATCGGTGGATGGAGGGTTTGTGTCGTCCGTTAAACCAACCACCAGTTTCACACGAAGCGAAGTAGTGTAGTTTGCTCTTATTAGCGATATATGTGGTAGGAGCTGCTTTTTTTTTTTTCTTTTTTTTTTTTTGGTTGTTGTTGCGGTAAGAGGATTTCGATTCGTGCCAGGGACCGTAGTGAAAGCAGCAGACCACTTTGAAACGGCGGATCCCACTGGCAGAAACGATTGGAGATAAGTGTCTGAATCTGGACGTGTTCCACACAGATTAATTGGCGATTCGTAACTGATTAATGCTTGCGACCCTGCCTTGTGGGAAGGTAGCTTAGTCGTCGTGAACTTGAGGCCAGATCCCACTGGCAGAAACGGTTGGAGATAAGTGTCTGAATCTGGACATGTTCCACACAGAGATGCGGAAAAGCAGATCCATCACAGTTTTTCGCACCTGTCCACCAACATGTCCAGATTCAGGCAGTCGTTCCTATCGTTTTTGCCAGTGGGATGTCGCCCTTAAGCTCGTGCTAACTGGCGGCTTGACGTCCGTCCATCTGTTCAATCAGTCCACCATCTATCCATCCATCTAATCCATCTATACATCCATCTATACATCCATCTATCAGTCGGTTGATCCATTCATCACTCAATCCATCCGACCGCCCGACCGTCTTTTATCGGATCCAATCTTATCTAATCTTGTCCAATCTTATCATCCACTCATCCGTTTTTTCATATACTCGCATTTAGTTGTGTCCCTTCAATACCAACTCATCACGTTTTATGGCGTCCAATTCAATCTCCTTTACACGTAGCAGCGTCCATTCAATCCCATCTGAAATGTCACCCGACCTCATCCAATCACATTTAATAGTGTCCATTCAATCCCATGGATCTGTCGATCCATCCACTCATCCACCTGTCCGTCACTTCACCCATCGATCAATTCATTCGTCCATCCATCATAATATATATGAATATAATGTGTATATGAATGTGTAATAATCTTATCCGTTGGCATCGGATGGTGGCGAATGTCATCCAATGCGCATTCATCATGTCCTGTTCCGTTCAATCACATCCATCCGTCCATCCATCCATCTGCCGCCTTATCCACTTGCCTAACCGATCCCATTCCATTTCAAGCTATATCCAGTCTCGTTCGATCCTTCTCCTCCATCCCGTGCAATCCGGCCCCATCTGATCCCATCTAATCATATGCAGTACTGAATCTACTGATCTGTTCTCATCCAAGCAAGCCCATCCATTCCCATCCATTCCCATCCATTCCCATCCATTCAATTCCTCCGGGAATCCGGTCGCATTTAATGGCCCTTGCGATTCCATCCAGTCCATTCATCATCTCATCCAATCGCATCCAGTTGCATCCAATCTCGTGCGATGGCATCCAATCTAATGCAACCCAATGCAGATCCATCCGATTCCATCCAGTTGGATTCAATCCCACCATCCGATGGCACCCGATCGTTTATCCACCAATTCCATTCTGACCATCCGATCCAATCCTGGTGCCAATCGGATCCAATCTCCTTCAATCGTATGTAATTCCTTGGGTCCATCCGTCCAACCCCGTCCTGTCCTCTCCTGTCCCCTCCCCTCCCCTCCCCTCCAACCCGATCTGAACCAATACCAGTCAATGCCATCCATCTGCTATCCTCTAGTTCTCATCTAATCTCGTCTACTCATGTCGTCCACTCGCACCCAATGCCATCCAATCTTACCCTCTCTGATGCATCTTATCCCATCTTATCCCATCTTATGCAATCACATCCGATGGTGTCCGTGTGAAGTGGTCTTCCGCATTCCTATTGTGGATGTGGAGCGTTTTGTGGCAGGGTTGGGGTAGGGGAGGAGGAGGGGGGGGAGAGTTCTCGTCGTTTGCACTTACACTTCTCTGG